TATGTAAAACCAGCTCCAAAGTGCACTGCACTGTGCAAATGTGGAAGAGACTAATTGATTTTCTAATTCAGTCAAGCTAGATACAATTCCACTGAAGACATAATTGAGTAACCTGCCACAGATTGTTGAATATAGCTACTTTGACATTGATGTTGAAATCAAACATGTTTGCGTTGATTTTGATATGGTTTTTATAGGTGATCCATAGGCAACCAAACTCATACATTATACATAGAGAATCTCACCCTCGTGTCTACTGATATCAATCATATCAACACGATTTGATAAAGGTACAAATTTTATTTTTACCTTTATCAACGAGAGTTGATATAATTGATATCAGTAGACACGAGTGTGAGATTCTATTTATCATAAAAAATCATTCTTCATAACTTTTCAATGAAAACTGTAAATCTCTCAACACTGTACTACCATTAGACTTGCAGTGCAGCGATGTCATAGCATTGTGACATCATCAGTTCATGACGTCATAGCATTGTCAGAGCATTGTACAAAATCAGAGCATTGTACTGTCAAAACGAGATAACATTTTCCGGAAAATTCATTTTTTCTCCCCCAATTTTCCCCAATAAAATGAAAAATGGCCAATATCTACGAGGCTTCTCGTTTTGAATTTGCAAAGAAATGATAAAAAAATGTTATATCATGGGATGATCTCATATTTATTTTACTGTTGTGGCCATTTTGAAAAATGTTTGTCAATTTTCCCTTTATCGGGTTGTCATGATATAAATTGACTTCCATAGACCTAACCATTAAAGATAGACAAGACATGTATGTATGGAAAATGATCAGCTATGAATATTCTACAATTTGATATATGATTTATGAGAATTGGAGAATATTAGAAAAAGTTATGACGAAAATAGTAGAAAAAATTATCATTTTTCACTTTTTTCCCCAAAAATATGAAAAATATAAAAAATCTGCGAGGCCTCTCGATCTTTATTTAATAAGAATGGTATAAGCTACAATCATGCCAAATTTCATGCTTGTAACACGAAGTGCACAATTTGATCACTTATCCGCTGGGCTATTGTGGCAGCAACTGATTAAAACATTTTTGATAGATAAACGTTTTATATGACGAGGCGGTACGTTTTAGGTTCGAGTCGGCGGTGTTGGAATGTGTTTTCCGGGGGTCGGCAATAAAATTAGAAGGGTCGGTCGGGTGATGAGAAACACAAACAATACAAATGCTGCCCTAACTCTCAAGTGATTAAGGAGTTGTGTGCTTACTGAGACATAAAACAGGAAACTCTGAGACTGGTTACCTGCGTATAATATAGGCAGATATATCACAATGTTTCGATTTTCAGCAGTGAGCCCTGTCATAACGATAATTCTTTCCCTTAAAATGACCGTCTAAAAGCAAAACGGCCTTACATAGGCAATGTCCCTGCTCAAGATTCCTCAGAACTGCATGTGCATATTGCCAACCAGTTTTTCTCCATGAAAAATTTCATCCAAGTTGACACTTTCGAACGTAAAGTTTCCTAAGATGTGTTTTTGCGCTGCGTTTTCGTTCCATGTACACACACCAGCATTATAATGGCGAAAATATAACCATTAACACTTATTTTGAAAATTATTTGAAATTTCAAATAGCAATATCACCTATTTTCCTTTTTGGGAGAAGATAGTTTATGACCACCGACCATTTCTGTGAAAATACAGGAATCTTTTATGTAACAAAGCATCGAACGATCCCAGAAACACAAGTCCAATTAATTGTATCCTGCAACGTCCTATACAGTGTTTGCTCAATGTGCTTCTGGTGCATAATACAGACTGAGTATATCATAGGCGTAGACTTATACTAAACATGCATGCACGTTTTCATTCATCTTCGCGGACGATACCAGTTTTTCAAAAGGGGATGTGGGGTAGCCTAGTGGTAAAAGCCTGACACGCCGAAGACCCGGGTTCGATTCCCAACGTATACAACGCGTGAAGCCCATTTCTGGTGTCACCAGACGCGATATTTCTGCATTATTGTTAAATGCGGCGTAAAACTAAACTCATTCACTCACCAAATTTTCAAGAGAACAATATTGTCCAAGATCATGTGTAATCATTCATTATAAAAGAGTAGGTAGATAGATCCTATATATTTTATACTATTGTCTTATGAATATTTCGTGTGGCTATATCTCCCGAGGGAATTAGTTCTATATACGTCCGTGTAAGATTTCTTGAGTGTGGCACTGCAAGTATGAAGAGTGTTTCAATGTTTTCAGTATCACGCTGTTCAGTAAGACTTTGATCCTTTAATCGTAGATGTTTACTCACTAAAAGTCAGAATGGAGAAATATACAGACCCACCGTCCGTTGATCTCCCTCCCCTGCCGTGAGTGAGGTAACACTTCTATCTGACTCAACTCCTTTCATGGAAGCTGATTTCATGATGGGGCAGCCATTGTCTCTTCAACGACACCGGTGGCGACGTGACCCCTCATTAAGGTACAGTTAAACTTTACGACGTTGTGAAGCCAAGGTATATAAGCCTGGCAAGAGAGAGGCTTGGCACATCATCTCAGCCACCATGAAGGTAAGAGTAAACATCCTTTCATCATTATGATGAAACTTCTCCCTCTTTTCCTAGTGTACACTCTGGTTATTCTGGCGATACACATAGGTAATTGAAGTATATTTGTCTTAAATCTTGTTCCATTCTGTTGTAATCAATTGTATAATGATCGCATTTCAATAGTTTTACATATGTTGAGAAAAGAAGAAATATGGTTTTGTCTACTTATATTGGGTAGCCTAGTAGATAAAGCGTTCGCTTGTCACGACGAAGACCCGGGTTCGATTCCTCACATGGGTACAATGTGTGAAGCCCATTTCTGCTGTCCCCCGCCGTGATATTGCTGGAATATTGTTAAAAGCGACGTAAAACTAAACTCACTCACTCACTCGAAATTTCTAATAGTATGAATCATTTGGCACTGTAGCCTTAACGGGGGAATTCACTCTGATACTGCATTTGTGTGCGGTTTCTGGTGACTATAGTGAATGAAAATATAACTTAGATATCGATTAAAACATTACATCAGATTTTACCCTCACTTGATTCCTTATTGTAACGGTATATTATATAATATTTCATTCCCATGCATGTGATGTTTACGCTACCCACAACACACTTGATCAATAATCTGTATTTATGTAATAAATAAAAGGGGAGACTAAATACAAAACTAAATATTTTAACGATGTATGAAATGTATAATAGAATCGGGTTTTCCATAACTTACAATATTTTCTTCATAGTAATTTTTGTACACCAGAGTCTCCTTTCACGAAGCAACCTTTACTAAGGTTAACCGTAACTCCCATTCTTTAACATTGCACTAAGGTTACCTTAGTGACTTCGATCACCTTCGTGTTTTGTGAAAGAAGGCCCTGGAATATAAATACTACTTACTATATATATTTCCTTATAAAAGTGACGAAATACATTTTGTTAACGCAATTATTATTTATTATATAAATGTTTTGTAAGTTATTTTTCTGTCACAACAAATACTTGACAACCCTTCTATTTGCACCCTCCTCGCTTCACATTCCCCTACCTTGATGCATTTTTAAGAATTGCAATTGTGAAACTAACGACATATGAGATCTATTTGCACTAATGGTAAATCAGGTACGAGTATCATTTTATACGTTTATCGAATAAAATGCTTGAAGATACCCCATTGACACATGGCAGTGCAGTGACATCAGAAAACAGAGAAGGGCTGATGTTTTCAAGGTGTATAATATAGTTATAACCCTTGAGAGCCACATTTAAGAAGAACAGAGTTGAAAATGGTGTGGCTCAACCGGCAATGGGCATGGTTGAGTAATCGTGTGAATGTGGCTGTCCCGGCAAAAGCTGAAATTGCTCTTTTCTATAGAATGACCCATTAGCATGTATCATTTTATTTCAGAACAGATTCTATAGATAGAAATGAAGATAATACAATCTACAATAAAAGCGGAGAATGCAAGATTAAAGAACAAAATAAACATACAAAGATTAATATTATCATATGTTAACTAAAAACTTCAACGGGAATAAAGAAGCCGCCCATCAATACATTGTGATCAATGGGTGACGCTTATTTGAGAAAAAACGGTATTGATATCCTTACTCATTGTGGCTTTCGCGGCGATTCGCGGCACCCAGGTTTGTACTTGAAATGTGGCTTTAGTGGCAATTGGTATTTTTCAAATGTGGCGGACACCGTATAATATACATGCGTGTAAAGGATGCAATTTCTTAAATGATCACGCTTAATTGCTTAAAAAGAATGATGATCTGATCACATCCTTTCTAAAAGAATCTCCACACTTTCAGTAAACAATGCACATGTAAGATCATGCCATGGACAAAAACAAACTTTCAGTGTTCACCTCAAGCGTTTTCACAATATGTTTAAATGTTAAAGAGCATTTATAAGTGATAGCGCTTGTCTATACTCAACAACAACTTAAAACATAAGAATGGGACAGCTTATTGATAGAAGCGTTCAGTAGACACATGGGTTCGAATCTGTTCGATGAGTGAAGTGAGTGTGTGTTCCCTACCGTGATGTGGTTAGAGTGTTGGTGGCATCGAGAAACACTGATCACTCCAACCCTAGATTCCTACTTTAAACTAATAAAATAATAATGCTGTACAGTGTTTATTAATAACTATAAAATTCAATGGAGCAGTACGAATATGTGCCTTAGAATTCAATGAAGAATTAAACATTCAATGGAGCGAAAGCTATGTGTAAGAGTAAAACATGTAACGCTGCAACGATGATTTCCAAAAGGTTTTTTGTAAACCATCATCAAAGTGTACCATCTTACCAACAGGCTTTAAACTTCAGCTTATTTATCCTTATGTGTTTATTTTTTCAGTGTCTCCTCGTCGCCGTCGTCGCTCTGTGCGGCGTTGTCGTATCCAGCATGTCCTACAACAACAACTTTGGCGTTGCCAGACAAGCTTGGCCACGTTGCCTCGGGTCTCAACGACTACGGCAAGGGACAATATGGAGGCGCCGAGGGTCTTCGTCGTTACGGAAGCTACAACAAAGCGGCCAATGCCGCCAGCAAAGCCGCCGACAACTACGCCGCCCACGGTAACAACTACCACAAGGCTGCTGACCATGCCAGCGCAAAGGGAGACGCCGCCTCCAACTACTACGGCCACAAGAACGCCGCTCACGCTGACAAAGCCTCCGGTGCTGCTGCTCTGGCCAACAAAGCCAACTACCACGATGCTGCTGCCACAAAGTACGCAAGGAAGGACGATGCCTCCAAAGCTGCTGCCAACAACGACTACGCCAACAACAACTACTACAGAAAGGGGAACGTCTACAACACCGGAGTCCACTACGGCTTCGACAAGAAGTATAACAAGAACGCCGATGAGGGCGGTGACTACGAAATTCTTGATGACAGCTCTTCCCATAACCTCGACGAATACCGTGATAAGAATGCGGCCTACAGCGCTGCCAACCGCGACCACGCCGCCAACAAATATGCTGCTGATCGCTCTCATGCTCTGAAAGACAGCAAGTACGGTAAGGACGCCAGCAAGGCTCAATACGGTAATGGTAAATACGGCTCTGCGGCAAGTCAGGCTGCCAAGAACGGTGCTGCCAACCACGGTTACGATGGCAAACTTAACGAAGCTGCCGGAAGCAACAAATACTACGCCAACGCCCACGATGCTGCCGTCAACAAACATGACGAGTTCGCCGGCAAGAACGCCTACTACAACAGAAAGAACGCTGCTAATGCTGCTGCACAGGCTGCCAACAACATCGCCGGATATGGAGGTCTCGCCCATGGTGCCCATGGCGTCGCTGGTGGTGCTGGTGTCCGAGGTGTATCTGGAGGTCTTCTCGGCAAAGGAGTAGGATATGGCAAGGGCTACGGTAACCAGTACGGCCACGGATACAACAATGGCTACCTCGGACATGATGCACACAACAATAAGTACTACGATGCCGGCGCACACGGTCAACACGCTGACCACTATGATGGTGCTGCCAATGCCGCCGTCGCCAAAACCGGAGGATACGGATCTAAGCTGGGTGACTCCAGCCGAAGCAAGGCTGGTGCCGCCTATCACAGAGACGGTTACAACAACGCTCACGCCAACGACTACTACAAGTCTGGAGCTGCAGCTGCTAACAACAAGGCCTACAGATACAATAAGGACGGTGCCGCTGCCGACAACCATGGCTTCAGTCACGCCGGTGCCGACGCTGCCAGTCTCTATGACAACAAAGCCGCCGCTCACGACAATGCCAAATCTGCCTACGCCAAGGACGACTACAGACGTAAGTACAACGAGGGGGCCAAGAAACACCATCTGGTCAAGAAGTTCCACCATCATTCTAAAGCCGGCGGCAACAACTACGAGCGTCTCAACTACGACAAGAAGGACTACAGGGACAACTTTGGACAGAACGCCAATGCCGCTCATGCCAACGCAAAGAAGTACTCTCAGAACCTGTACCAGAACGCTGCCAATGCCGCCGCCCATAACAACGACAAATATGCTGCCAACCACGCCAACAAAGCCTCCAACTACTACGATGCTGCTGATGCTGCCAACGGAAACGCCGCAAAGAAATCCAACTACTACAACAAAAACGCCGCTGCCTCTGCTGGTGCTGCCAACGCTGCTGGCAAGTCTCATTATGACAACCACAACAACGCCGCTGCTGCCAACGCCAAGAGCCTCAACGACTACGCCCACAACCAGTACGGTAACAACGGTCACGCTTTCAACGTCGCCCACGGTGCTGCTGCCAACCACGCCGGTGCCGCCCACAACACCCCAAGCTACGGTTATGGCGTCGGACACGGACTTGGAGGAACTGGACATGGTGTTGTCGGCCTTGGTCACGGCGTCAGTGGATACGGTAGTGGTTTCGGCAGAGGAGTTGTCGGCCTTGGAAATGGCGTTGGTGGATTCGGTAACCGAGTTGCCGGCCTTGGTAGAGGCTTTGGCTCTGGTCAAAGTTATGGAGGTTACAACCAGTACCCTTACTACGGGTAAACGGTGATATGTGATCGACCGTTTTCAACACCAACCGTACTGCACAAACCATGTGCGCTTGATATGAATGAGGAAGTGTGAATGGTTTTTTACCTTTCGTTTGATGTGTCTGTGAACTGTGTGTTTCTCAAGTATTTTCTGTTTTTGTTTTGGAAATTGAAAAGTACTTCCTGCTAATCTGATCAGAAAAATACCGTTTTCACAAGAATACCATTTTATGCTGGTACGAATAAGTGTCATTCAAAACCTAGTTCAGTTGTAGACATTGATTGCAGTTCAGAGAAATGCCTATAAAGCAACAATTATGTTCCAACAAGGTGGTAATAAACAAGCAAAACATTTCAGAATCCAATTTTTTTGTATCCAAATTCTTTGTAAGAGTTTACTTTTCACGTTGGACCTTGCCTTTCTATTGTGTTGTGATTTGTGTCTTACTTTTACCCAATCGTAAGAATAAATGTTGTGGGATAAATTTGTTCTTTGTCTATATTATACACAACAACACCAGCTGGACAATAATGCTTCGACTGCATGGAGCCTTACAACGCCTTCAGCGTATATATTGCTCTAAGCAACTTATGCCTGAAGCAACTGATGAACTGTCGTTAAGCAGCGGTTGTCAAACGGTCATGTACGACTTACGGTGTAAGATGGGATACACCTCGGAGTGATCTGTCTGGGTGAACATCCTGTTACGGGGCACCTATCAATAGGGCTATCAATCGATATGGATCAACAGATCGATTTTCGTTAAATGGATATTGATATATATCGGAGAGGTAACTTTGAGCAAAAATAACTAAAACGTATGAAAGCAATCAACATATTTCACATCAGCGATGAGCGGTGTTGGCTTGGATTACCAGCAAAACGACATCCTGAACATTCCTTAGGAGCAGTACGTGAATAAAGACCTAACTCTGTGTATTTTCTGAGTAAAAATTTCAACTATTTCACAATTCTTCATATAGATAATTATTGATAATGATTCCCATCGACGATATTTCCGATTATCGACCATTTTAGCCATCCCTAGCTTTACACTCATCTGTATGACGATACAAAGTCCAATAACATAGGTTCATGGAACGGGAACAGGCCATGAATTGGAGCCATGTCTGCCAGCTTATCTTCTTTGTGGTCGTCCCCAGCTCCAAATAGCTACGCCTGTCTTTATATCGTGGCATATAAAATGACTAACACTCACTTTGGTTTCAACACCTGGTGTCTAATCGGTGAATTACCAGGCCTAGTTCTTTATATAACAAGGAATCATTATCTACGCCATCATCATGGTAATAACTGTACAAATAAATGCTCTCATGGATGCTTTTCAGTTCTCTACAAGACAATGTGCAAAATCCTAAAATTTCCCCATATTCTCTCTATGAAGTGATAGTCACTCACTTTCATTGGATGGAACATCCGGTGTCTAATAGGTGGAATTATTTATGCCTAGGGCTCCATGGATGCTATCAATCCCACATGAAATGTGTCCTCACTTTGATGCCATGTGTTTCAATCGTGAATGTTTCCCCTCCAGTCATATAAAGTTTAACGTTACAAGTCATCAAACATGGTCTACATCAAGGAAACATTTTCTGTTCCTTTCTTCACTTACATACTACATTAGTTAAAACAGTTGACGCAAATGTTCAGACTAGTTAAGTGTATAAAATGTATAAATGTTAGATTCAGTCGATGGTGGCAGATGATTGATGGCATTCACTACGTAGCGAGAGACGGGTTTACATTGCATTACACTATCAGCCTGATAACACTGCACAATATGTGTTTAAAGTAAACGATTAAAACAATGGTTGATCCAGATATGCTCAAGAAGGTGTTTGAATGTTTTAACGAAACATGGTGACTGTGTATCTGCATATGTTTAAGGTCCAAGTACAGATTCTAGTACTATTGTTTGGCTGAGTCCCATCCGAGATTCGAACCCACACCCTCAGACTCAGGCACCTAATCGCCAGCACACAAAGTCAGCCGCCTAACCCGCTCAGCCATCGCGACTTCCATGAAATGAGCTTGCGTCTCACAGCCGAAACACAGCCTGAACGCAACATACTTTTAATATAGACATGTTTAAGCTTTAAACACGTAAAGTGATTGAGCATGAAGACACGTTTGGATTAAATGCATAATATTCATTTAAATCAAGTCAGATTCACGGGCACTTGTATTACGCACAACTTACAACTTTACATGTGTGTGTGTGTGTGTGTGTGTGTGTGAGTGTGTGAGTGAGTGTGTGAGTGAGTGTGTGTGTGTGTGTGTGAGTGAGTGAGTGGTGTGTGTGGTGTGAGTGAGTGGTGTGTGAGTGAGTGGTGTGTGAGTGAGTGAGGAGGTGAGTGAGGAGTGAGGAGTGAGTGGCGGAGTGAGTGAGTGGAGTGAGTGAGTGAGTGAGTGAGGAGTGAGTGAGTGAGTGAGTGAGGAGTGAGTGGAGGTGGAGTGAGTGAGTGAGTGTGAGTGAGTGAGTGGAGTGGAGCTTCAAGCAATATCCTAGCAATATCACGGCGGGGGGACACCAGAAATGTATGGTGGCTGATTAGGGCCATCGCTTTCTCGCCTTAAAATTCGGAGGCGAGAAAGCGAGAAAGCGATATCACGAGACGAGAAAGCGATAACACGAGACGAGAACGCGAGACGAGAAAGCGATAACGCGAGACGAGAAAGCGATAGCACGAGACGAGAAAGCGATAGCACGAGACGAGAAAGCGATAGCACGAGACGAGAAAGCGATATCATTGCGCGAGAAAGCGATAGCGCGAGAAAGCGAGAAAGCGATAGAGCGAGAAAGCGAGAAAGCGATATTACCCACAATTCGGTGCTGTCTGCGCACCATCGACTACAAACGGGAGCTCAGTCGCCATCGTAATTTCTGGATATTATTAAATGGTTTTCAGTAATGTTCTTGCCCACGAATGGCGGTGTATGACTTGATGTTTAGAGAATATATAATAGGGATGTAGACTTTCCTTTGACATGCAATTTGCACGTATGCAATAGTCATATCGTGAAATAACGGAAACGTTCATTTTGTGATGTGACTTAAGGAATTACTTATTTTAGGACATGACTGGATTCGAATTGTCTTAACCAACTTAATCACACCAACCAATTGAATTGTTTCTTTGATGGGCATTTTAAAGTTGAGTTGATGAAATATAATGACACTTATATTGGATATACAACTTCTTTTATTTTGTGGAGGCGATGTTTCGACATAAGTTCTAATGTCGTTGTCAAGCAAGTGATACATGAGTAACAAATTGAGAGAATATATACAGGAGTTGTTGTTACAGTAGATAGGGAATGACTTGTTTATACAATAAATGAGGTTGATGTACAACGCTTGTAGAAGAGATTGAGTAAGTTGATTGGAAGCCAGAAGGGTGATATACAAGGACTGAATTAGAATTTATAGGAGGCCAGGTGGATGTATATACAAAAGATGGGTTTGATGTACATAGTTGAATTGAAACAGATAATGTACACAAGAAATATTATTGATTACTTTATCAAGTGATGGTAGGCATTGGGAATGTACTATCCTTCATCTCTGTTGAGAGCGGATCGTATCTTCTTGATGTGTACTGCTTCCAAAAGTTTCCGAATTTTCTAGTCTGACTGGTTCTTTTCTATGGTTTTCTTTGAATTATGATGTTGTGTGACAAATGTGTCGGCAGTGCCAGATGAACGGGAGGGACCTATGACAAATAAGGCATTGTGACGAGTATATTTTCATGGTGATTTCCACCATGAGTGGCCAGCACTAAGACAATCAACCACATCCAAACCATCATCCTAAAATAAAATCACTGAGTGAGTGTGTGAATTTAAATATATGTCGCCTAAGAGCAATATTCATGTTTTAGGTTCATTGTTGATGGTTTTGTGACGCCATATTGTACGCCATCAGTTCAATTCCAACTTAATGGAATGGTGAGTTACACTTACATTTCAAACAAATTGGAGCTTGCGTTTCTTTTGCAGCTCAGTTTATTACATATACATCACATTCAGAGAGTTTTGAAGTATGTGACACTATAAATGAGCCGTATGTAGACAATTCAAAAATAATTATCAATTCTCGCTGTTTGGTTATAGGTGAAGGAATTAGAAATGAGGCATGGGAACTTAACCGTTTATGTTCATGTCACTTTATTGTATTTCAGGGTGATCCAAATACAGCTGTAGTTTCTTTGAATTAATAAAGACGATGAAATTTATTAACTGAAGAACTTCACCTACATGAACCCAATTCGCTCCTACCCAAAGATAGAGGAGACGCACGTGACAGTAAAGCACCTTGGTACCTCAATGTAGTAATTGAACCATTCCACAGTCAATGGTGTAATCTAAGCAAATAAAAGGATGCAGTCAAACGTTCGTCTAATCAAAGCTGAAAATAGTACGCAGTTAAACGCTGGTCTAGCCATATATAGTGAACTTCTTTGGATGGCATTTAGAAGTTGGTGTGCTGAACAACGGGGAAAGTTATATGGATATACAACTCCTTTATTATAATGTAAGCGACATTTTGGTCCGCCAATTTCAAACCTGTTCTGCCATCAAAATATCTATCAAAACCCATCTTTTCCACCATGTTTTCTTGTGACAAAAGTTTGATAATAGACATGTTATACCAACAACTGGTTTTCTACAATATATTGTTACCCTCCACCGCCACTTTGACTGTATGTAGTAATTGATGTGTGTGATATGTACTCTTATACCACCATTGGTGGTCTATTAAATAAATAAATAAAAGTAAAGCAAAGGCTACAGCTAGACGTGGTCGCATAGGTTTTGAAAAAGTGATTAGTTTCCAGAGGAGGACTTGAAACTCGTTCAATATATGGAACTATCTACCTGTATCATCTTGTTTATAACTTGGTCAACTCATGTCAAAACGATTCAAACCGAATGAGAGCAATAGGTGACATTCACTGGGATGCAGACAAATGAGAAAAGGGCGTCAAATC